AGATCCTTTTTGCTGGAGTATTCTGCCTTTTAAAGACTAGTGGAATTAAATTTGATGGGATGCATACACACAAAAGTAAAACTGTTGTGAACAATGCCAAGTTTTGCATATGGGAAACACAATCTTCATCATGAGCTATATAATCATTAGACTATGGTTTTCAAGTACTACTATATTGTACCAGTCTTTAAAATGTGCTTTTTAGGACAACAGTCCTTTATCCAAAATACCAAATGTTTATAGCTTTTTGGTTGTTGAATATAATTAGGATTGATTCGGTTTCTGCTGTCAAATAACTTGCAATAATGTGCAAGATTCTAAGAAAGTAATTAGTTAGGATTGTGCAGGAATAATTAATTGATATATTTACAGTTTGTGGGCATTTTTTAATCATTCTCTAAACTGGAAGTTTCTTCTAGGCGATGAAAGCTCTTTAAAAAAGACTAAAGGTGCACTTCGTATTAAGCCAAAAATAATTTTATTCCTGCACAGATAATTAAAAAAAATAAGAATAGGTAAAAACACTATCGACTTCCTTGATGTTAACATTAAACTTTTAAAATATCTTAGCTTTAGAACTGGCCCAGCAGCTCAAGAGGTTGCTTTCATGAAGCAGATATTTATGAAGTTGGTCTTGCCATACAACTGCTGTAGCCCCACACAGTAGATAAGCAATTGAGTATGTCTGATAATAAAGCAGCATGCTGCTACAATTCAGTTCCTGCTTCTGTGATAAAGTGCAAGTAGATTAGACCTGTGAGGTACTAGATTAGAGCACAAGGAAAGCTTGCCAGTGCAAATAAGACTAAAACAAGAACACATTGTTGGGATTTCTTCAAGTTAGCTGTTAATCAAGTAAAACATGGTATATTAGGCCCTTTTAACACGTTTTTGACATCTAGCCCCCTGCAGCTGACAGTTAAATTAGCCTTCTTTTGTGATTGACTGAGAATAATTTTATACTATTTAACCATTAATAAAATGCCAGAGTGACTATTATGTATACATTTAATATAGTTTATTATATAGGGAATATTACTTTTAGTAACTAAATCTTCAAGGTGGCGTTGGTATGAAAAACAAAACAAAAACACCCTAACGTAATTATTCATACAGCAATGTACATACTTTAACATTTCTTAATCTACATTCAATGCAGGAGGATAATCTTTGAATTTACAGTTTAAATATCATAGAATCTATGATTCCCCATAATGGTCTGGGAATTTATTTATTATTGGGAGTGAGTCTGGGCTCTTAATAACATACATTATCCATGTCTTGTGTAGCTCACAATGTGTGACACATTAAAAAGTAAACTTAGAACAGTTCTGTCATACTGCTCAAAAGTGATGTTTCTATTTAAGGCCGTGCTCCTGCAGCTTCATCCACATGGGCGAACCTCTCTGCCTACGCAAAGTCCTATTGAAATGGCTAAAGGAAATTGTGAGACTCTGGATGAAATCCTGACCCCACTGAAGTTAGTGGGAGTTTTGTTATTGACTGTATGAAGCCAGGATTTCACTCTCTTTTGAATATGCTGTACAGAGCTGGGCAGCCTACCACTGTAAAAATTATAATGTCTTGGAAAGGGTTTTGCTAGTCGGCCTTTGACAATTTCTTTTTGCTGTATGCAAGATGGAACACATCTAAGTACATACAGGAATGTCATCACTCTGTAGCCTGTTTATGTTAGAAAGAGAACTATGTAATTGTTCAACATTGTCTTCAGCCAAAGGTTCTCATAGTAGTGTTAACTCTATAATATAGATGTATGTTTATCCAAGGGAATAAAGGTGTTTTTCTCTGACAAGTAAATGCAGGATGTAAAATGAGAGTAGGACGCTGAATTTCAGGCTCTTTTAAAAAAAACGCTCTTGAGAAGTGCAGTAGCAAATATCTGTTCTATATCAATATTCTTATTACAAGAACATCAAACTTAGTGCTGATTATTTACCTATGTCAAAATCTTGGGTTCCAGCCGCTGACCTCCTGCAGCCAGGTCTGGATCTCCAGCCTTGCTCAGCCTGCTTTCCGGCCTGGAGTCCCAGCAGGCCACACTGGGCTCTGCTCCTGGCCTTGGATCAGTCCTCTGCAGCCTCCCCGCTATGGCCCACTGTCCCAAGCCTGGGACAGTGAGGGTTGCACACCAGGCAAGAGGGGGTGCAGCTCAGCACCCCCATCTTAAAATTGCTTATCTCAGACAACACTGCGTTTGACCTTGTGCCTGCCTTCTATCACCATTTTTTTCCCCCACTGAGAGTTGAAGGGAACACTTGACAAAATGGCAGCTCCTAAGAAAGCGAAGCTAGATGTCCGATCATTTCAGCCTGCTTGGACAGATGCATTTGGATTTATTGAAAAGAAGGACCATGCTATTTGTGTTGTCTGTTATGAAAGTGTTGTTTGTCGCACATCAAGTATTCAACGACATTTTGAAACGAAGCACGAGAAAATCTTTCTTGACGAAGCAGACAAGACTGAATCAATCAAAAAGGCAATAGCAGCCTATGAGAAGCAAAGCTAGTGTTTTTAAAAGCTTAAGTTTAAGTAAAAATCAAGCTACAGAAGGAAGTTACAAGATTGCACAGTGCATTGCAAAAAACAGAAAGCTGTTTACAGATGGGGAATATATAAAAGAAGTTTTTCTCAGCAGTTCGGAGATTTTGTTCAATGATTTTCCAAATAAAGATACAATCATATTTAGAATAAAAGAACTCCCCATCTCTGCCAGAACAGTTGAGAGACGCATAAGTGAAATGGCAGAAAACATTAAGGAAAAGCAGATGACTGCATTGAAAGACACAGCAGTGTTCAGTGTTGCAGTTGATGAGAGCGTGGATATAAACGACGTTCCACGTTTTCCAATTGTTGCAAGCTATTGTGCTTCCGATGAAATCCAAGAGGAACTTTGTTGCCTAAAACCCCTGCATGGCACAACAAAGAGGGAAGAGATACTGGAAAGTTTTGTAAACCATTTTGAAGAATGAGGAGTTGACATCAGAAAAATATTTTGTGTGACAACAGACGGTGCTCCTGCCATGGTCGGAAAACAGAAGGGATTTGTAAAGTTACTTGAAGATCAAATTGGCCATTCGACAGTTAAATTTCACTGTATCATCCATCAAGAAAACCTGTGTGCAAAAATTTCTAATTCAGAGCTTAATAATGTGATGAATACAGTGGTGCGAATTGTGAATTTCCTTGTTGCTCGATCTGCTTTGACTCACAGACAATTTGAAGCACTGCTAGAAGAGATGGACAGTGCTTACAATGACATCCCACTTCACAGCAGCATTCGGTGGCTAAGTCGTGGCAAGGTTTTGGTGCGCTTTGTAAACTGTTTTGAGGCAATCAAGGCCTTTTTGTCGGAAAAAGAACAAAACTACCCTGAACTGGATGATGACACATGGCTGTGTAAGCTCACGTTTCTAACTGATATCGCTGCTCACCTAAACGAACTCAACCTCTGTTTCCAGGGTGCAGGGCAAACATTTCTGGATCTTTATGAAGCCTGGAAAACATTTGTTGTGAAACTAGCAGCTTTTTCCAGGGATATTCAAACTTCTACTTTCCGCTACTTCCAACACATAAAAGAACTATCGACACATTGCATTGTCAGTGTTGATGAGATTGGAAAGTACATGCAAGAACTGGAATCAGAATTTTCTGACAGATTTCAAGATTTCCAGCGATTTGGCCCAATGCTTTCTTTTCTAATTAAACATGAAAAGTTCAACGAAAGCGACTTGGATTTGTCTGTATTTCAGTGGATGGGTGTCAAAGATTTCAAAATGCAACTCATTCAGTTAAAAATCTCAGAATTGTGGACATCAAAGTTTGTGGATTGCGGAGCGCACTTGAAGCTACAGAGAGAGATCCTGGGGCCTCCATTCTGACCTGCTGGACGTCCCTGCCAGTGAAATTTAACTGTTTGAAGAAAATTGCGTTTGCAATGCTTTCAGCATTTGGATCCACATACCTGTGTGAACAGGTATATTCACACATGATATCTGTCCTCTGTCCCTCTCGGAGCCAGTTAACAACTGATCACTCAGAAGCCTGTGTGCAAATACATGCCAGACATTGGAAAACTCAGCAAGGAAAAGCAAGGGCGAGGATCACACTAAACTGATGAGATCTGCATTTTAATTTAATTTTAAATAAAGCTTCTGAAACATTTTGAAAATCTTGTTTATTTTACATATAACAGCCCAGAACTGAAAAAATGTTCTAGAGGTAATCCCTTCAAAGCCACGAAGAAAAACTATCATTTCCCTTTCCTGCTCAGAGCCAAATTCAGCACACCATTAAAGAATATGATCAATTTTAAGCATGTGTGTAATCGTTGCTATTAGAAAATGTTCTTCTTTTGGGTTTTGCAATCAAAATGAAGATACCTTTTTCTCTGTCTCATTCAATGTTTTCCAAAATGTCATACCTGTGAATATAGCATTACCGATAACTGGCAGATTGTTGCTTGCATTCTAAATTATCACACAATTGTTAACTGAACTTTAGAACTTTCATGAAGACTCTATTGCAACCTGCATAGAACTTGCTGGGAAGCTAGACTGTAATAAGAAAATTCAAACTGAGTATAGTAGAAAACGTGGCTTTGTCATTTTGAACATTCATTCATAATTTATGGATTAACAACAAAGCAGGTGCATTGTCCAAATATGTAGTGTTCTCTAAATATTATTAAACGTCTATGTATTTTACATTAATATCAAATTTTGTTGAACTTTGTCTAGGATGGTACCATAATTCAGCATTTAGGGCTGATCCAATGCCCACTGAAGCCAGTGGAAGTATTTCTATTGTCTTCAGTAAGTGTTGGATGGAGCGACCTCTTATTTCCCTTATCTCGAGAATTAAGGTGATATATGTGCTTCCAAAGATCAATTTCACCAGTGCAACTTAATGCAAAGAGAGCTTTTTTTTTTCTGAATTGCTGTACCAAGCTTTACATTTTTATTACTCTTTCTTATTGTTAGGAGAGAATAATAGAGCGCTTGAAGGAGCAGAGGGAACGGGATGACCGAGAGAGACTGGAAGAAATAGAATCCTTTAAAAAGGAAAACAAAGACTTGAAGGAGAAAGTTAATGCTTTACAAGCTGAACTAACAGAGAAGGAGGTCAGCCATTGCAGTAAAATTTAAAATCTTTATTGTTCTGATCTTCCTAACAAGTTTCACTGATATAAACAAGTTAATTACAGACACCGTCAAATTGCTTAAGCCAGCAGTTCTCAAACTGTGGGTCGGGACCCCAAAGTGGGTCATGACCCTGTTTTAGTGGGGTCGCCAGGGCTGGTGTTAGTCTTGCTGGGGGTTGGGGCTGAAGCCGAAGGGCTTCAGGCCTGGGTGGCGGGGCTCAGGTGACAGCCGTCCCACCCAGGGCTGAAGCCCTCAAGCTTCGGTTTCGGGCCAGCTCCAGGGCAGTGGGGCTCGGGCTTTGGCTTTGGCCCACCCTCCTGGGGCAGCGGGGCTCAGGCTTCGGTCCCCCTTCCTGGGGTCGTGTGGTAATTTTTGTTGTCAGATGAGGGTTGCGGTGCATTGAAGTCTGAGATACCTGGTTTAAGCTATTGGTTTTCAACTATTTTTAGAAACTAACTCCTAAAGCAGTATATTTTTGAGCAATCCCCACTGTCAAACTCTTGATTACTTTCCATGAAATATTTCTTTCTTTTATTTCTTCTTTGTGTATATTTCTTTCCTTTCCTTTACACATGTTTGACAAGGCTTTAGTATTCTACTGCTGGTCCTATTTTCAGTTTTTATTTGAACTAATGGACTTAGCGGGAGCAAGACCTTCTGAAAGTAAGGTCCACCAGTATTTGATTCAGCCAGACTGATTATTGATAAGAGGTTTTACTTGGTCATTCCCTGGTCTGGTTGATTCTTTACTAAAGTTTTGTTGTGCCATTGCATACCACTGCTCTGTGCTCACGTCATTAGATTCTTATGAACTATGTGATAAGATTAAATCCTATTCATGTCAAGCTGCAAGATACTTCTTTTTGGATTTTCTTCTCTTGCATACTTCTCCTGTAGGGTCTGAGTACCCTTTAAAGTAAAGCTATTGAGTGAGAATTTATAAATAATTAAAGTTGTGATGAATTAATGCGAAATATTTTTTCTATTCAAGTCTGTCTTCGGTGGGGTTTTTTTTAAATCTACCACCAGCATGATGATGAGGAGGATATTTTTAATAAAAGCCTGCTGCCATTTTTGCAGGGGCTAAAAGAAATGATGGTGAGAATTCCATGGGTTGTGGCTCACTTGCAGGATGATCTGTATTTATCTCACTTAATCAATTCCCTGCTATCGGGGGAGGGCGGGGTCTCAGGTCTTGGTGAATCCCAGTTCCTCCGATTCTGTGCCTGTCTCCTGAGAGCTGTAATACTTTGGTCTAATTTCAGTGTTTGAGTTTACTGTGTGGGTGCTGGGCAGGGCTTAGTGGCCTGTGATATACAGGAGGTCAGAATAGATGATCCAGTGGTCCCTTCTGGGGCTTAACCTCTATGATTCTAATTTATTTTAAAGCTTCTATAGGCTATTATAAGTAAAATAGATAAAATTAACAATAGAAGTTGATAACAGTATTCTAAGTACAGATGAATATGTAGAATACTGTTGTGTGCAGCTACCTCCACCCTTCTATCATAGGATAACTGGCAAAAGTAAAATCTGATAGTAAACTAAATATAAAGGAGAACACTGATCAGTGTAAAATATAGAATCGACTATTTTCTAATTCTCAAGGATTACATTTAAAATACAAATGAATCATCCATTTCCCAAAGGAAATTACCCTCTATCTTTCCAGCAGAGGGAACATAGTATATTCAAGAACAAGTAATCTTTTCATAAACATTCAACTTTTTGTTAACCTTCTAAAAATTCCCTAATAACCTTCTAAAAATTACCTAATAATATTTTATTATGCTGTAAATACCCATTCCCATGTCTACACACATGTACAAAGTTTTGACTGAAAATATAGCTGGTACGATAATTTACAATCTTAGTGGCTAGGATCAATGCAATTTCTAACACCATCTCTTTCTTCTTTTTTTGGATAATTTTTCAGTCTAATTTAATTGACCTCAAAGAACATGCATCATCATTGGCATCAACAGGGCTGAAAAGAGACTCCAAATTAAAGTCTTTAGAAATAGCCATAGAACAAAAGAAAGAAGAATGTAGTAAGTTGGAAGCACAGCTGAAAAAGGTAAGTGCCTTCTAAGAAAATTCTTATTGTAAAATGGACTAAACTCTTCACTTTTCTAGCATATAACTGGCAATGAAGCAAGAGGTCCATTTTAAAATCTGGCAGTCTTCTGCTGTCTGCTGATCCTAGCATCAAACAATATTGACTTTTTCTTAAGAAGCATGTATAAAAGCTGTCTGTGAGCCTGAAAAATTGTCTTAAGTTTCCTGTCTAAGGGGTATTTGGAAAAACTGGTGAAAATACTGGGGGGGAGGGGAGAAGTTATAGAAACCAGCCATTATTATATCTACAAATCTAAATTACTCTTTCTAGTCAAAAATGTCTAGGTTTTATACTGAAATTCTCCTTAATTTTATGTATTTATTTAATTAATTAAAATTTTAGGTAGTTAAAGAAAATAGTGTTGAATATATCACAGTTGGCATTATTTATATCCACCAAGAAGCAGAAGCAAACATTTAAAGAAAAATGTTTTAGAAGTACAATACTTATCCAATAATTTTATGTAGATTACTTCATTACAATACTAACCGATCTCCAAATTTTGTTGACACATTTTTTTTCATGTGTTTCTTTGACTTTTTTGCTTTGTCATTTGGTAGTGTCTGCATTCATTGTTTGAACACCAAACTCATGATATACTCAAGGGGTTTAAGCATCATATTTTCCTTCTGCAACTGTTAAATAAGCCAGTGAGAAATGTAGATAAAACTTTAAACCCCCAAAATACTTCAGACATAGATTTATATGCTTATGTGCTCTAGAAGAGGTTAATTATTTTAGCTTGAATATTGACATTTTTAGGTCCAGATTATGATACCCTTCCTCATGTTGAATAGTTAGCCTCATTGATTTCAGTTGGACTACCTGTGTAGTAAGGTATTACTCAAGGGTGAGCAAGGGTTTCAGAATTTGAATCTTATATTTTTACCTATCATTTTGATTTTATTATGTACTTCTAGAGTAGGTATATGTGCTGTAATGTATACTTTAGAAGAGCACACTCAAAATATTATGATCTAATATAAATTTTACATGTATAAAACACACGATATATACAGTTGTTGGGGTGACCATATAGTGGTCACCAAATGAAATTAATTGACAGGAAGCTTAAAACAAACAAAAGGAAGTATTTCTTCACAGAATGCACAGTCTACCTGTGGAATTCTTTGCCAGAGGATGTTGTGAAGGCCAAGACCATAACAGGGTTCAAAAAAAACTAGATAAATTCCTGGAGGATAGGTCCATCAATAGCTATTAGCTAGAATGGGCAGGAATGGTGTCCCTAGTCTATATCTGCCAGAAGCTGGGAATGGGTAATGGGATGGATCACTTGATGATTACCTGTTCTGTTCATTCCTCTGAAACACCTGGCATTGGCCACTGTTGGAGGACAGGATACTGAGCTATATGGACATTTGGTCTGACCCATTGTGGCCTTTTTTATTTGGATGAGAGGAGGGCATCGTTTCAAATAAACTTGCATGCAAAGAGCTTTTAACAAAATCTTAACCTATCAAATATTTACAAGAAATTATCAATGCCATTTGCACCAGAATTAAAATACCTAAATAATGCATGTAGGCATAGATCACTTTTATTTTATTAAAAGAAATATAAATATTATTTACTGAAGGTGTGAAGAATCTTTATTTGCATTATAGTTCAGATCAGGTGATGAGCATGGTAAGATACTTATAATTTAAATATTATTACCTCTATGGTTAACTTTTACATTTAATTTTGTTGCTTTTAGTGGTATTCGTTCAAATGAATTCACATGTTCAAACTATTTTTCCAGTGGCCTTATTTTTGGGAGAATTTTTGTAATAAATAGTTCTTTAGAATGCTAAAGCACCTGTCATCTTAAAAAAATGGAAATCTGCTTGAAATAGTTGAAATTCTAAGTGAACATCTATGAATGTATATATCAACACATCATTTAGTAATGGAAAAATAAGCAGTTATAAAAGTCTGTAAGTGTCTGGGCCTCCTTTTAAATAAAAAGGAAGTATGTTCCTTATGAATAAAATACAAAGGGTTACCAAATGAAAGTTGAAAACATAATAGTTTGATTATACCATAAATACAACATGAATTCCCAATGGGAACTGGCCCAAGATTTGTAGGAGGCTTGGTATTTCCACAATAATATGCAGATTCAACATTGTTGGATGTGTTTAGGAGAATAGAAACACTGACTGTTAATGACAATGGACTGCAAACAGTAATTTTTAATTTATATTTACTTTAGTAAAAAGCTTTAATTTCAGCTAAACCTAAAAATATCCTGTGATATTTTTGTAACTTGCTCTCCAGAAAATGAAATCTACCTTCAGTCACTGATTTTATCCCTTAACAAACTAACTGAAACAGAAATCAGTTTTGGGAGGATTTTAGAATTTTGTTGAATGGAGATGGGAGGGAGCATATACATTTCTTCATTCTTGTACACAGTATACAAATCTGCATGTCCCATATGGATGCTCACTGTATCAATGAACACTCAACACTGCAGAGGTGAGAGATGTGTAATTTCATTGGACATAATTTGAAAAGTAACTCCAAATATGTATCCATTCTTTTTAAAAAATATTAACAACTTGCATATCATTTATCATTCTTAAAAAATAAATAAATCAGAGTGGTGGTACTGTTAGTTAACTTGCCCAGCATTAACTATGATTCTTTAGTTGTATCCATTTTTATTCCTAAATATCGATTTAATCCAGCACATATTTGCAACAGTGAATAGTTCTGAGAAGTCATAGTCCTAAGCACTATGCCTAGAAGAAGTGTTTATGGGATACAAGGCCTAACCAAACTTGTGATGAGGAACAGTTTTGCCTTGGAATTTTGTTCCTCTTCTTTTTCAATTATTTTTTCAATTCCTCCTTTTTATATATGTTTCTTCAAGACATTTTCCCCAGGCTTGACTATAACTATTTCTCAGTATTATATACTTGACACTGTGCAATACCTGCATTTCTGGGGGAGAAAATATGCAGACTCTGAAAGAATATATTCAAAAGTAAAACAAAAATCCTTAGGCAGACTCTTGAAATATTTGATTACAACAAACTGAACTGTAGCCCCATTATTAATTGAAATAGCATATGCATTTAAAAACCAATAAATAGGAGAGCATTCAAAAAGAATCATTGCTCCTGTGTTCATACTGTATTTTACTGTACACCAAAATTGTTTAAAACCATGAGCATGCTTGTTAAGCCTTTTGTTACGAGGATTATGATTTGGAATTGATGGGAACAAAATTAGTGAAGAGCTCCCAACACTTTTGTGCCAAAACTCTACAGGCATTTTTTTTACTTATTTTCCTTTGCTAATTATGATGGAACAGCAGGAATTACCTCATAGGTAGTTAATTATTTTTTATGTTGCTTTCCTGAATCTTATTATCCACTTTAGAATTTCCTCCTTTTGTTGTTTATCATGGATTTTATATTTCCATGCTTACTGACATACTTGCTGTTGCTAAACTACTGTTTGCCAAGCTGTACTGTTCAAAAGTTATATTGGATCGAAAATTCAGGCTTGTGTTAATACAAAAGAAAAACCATAAATTTAATGATAAAGTTTAATTAATCTTTTATTATTACTGTCTTTGAAACTTTTGTGATAAATTGCAGTCTTGGCTAAAAGCGCTTCTAGTGATTCATTGCTTGAGACTAGCACTTAATGTATCATCAAAAGTGGACACCTTTCTTTATTTCATGGGTTATTTAACTTGAGAGAGGGAAAGTAACACAAACCTTAACTTTTTTACTCCAGCTATTCTTTTTTAGAAGCCAAAGTCAACATTTATGTTTCCCCAGTGCCTCTCGCTTTCACCAAGGAATGTTTAGAAACTTAAATTTCTTCTTTTTTATGACAAGTTCTTCTGTGCAAATGCACTGGATTTGTTGAGCTAATGCTGTTTTCCTGGATCTTTCCTTCTTTTCCTGTCTATGCTTCACTCCTTTCCAACTTTGCAATGTAGCAAGCTGAACAGTTGTTCAATCAGATGTACAATCCAGTAAGTCCTTTCTGAAAGTGCCCGCTGTAACATATGAAAGCATGAGGATCCATTGACCTGACACTGTGTTGTGTTCTTCCTCTATGGAGCTTTGCAAAAAATTTTTTGATGATCACCTGTTTTAGTTATGTCAAAATAAATGAGCTTTGTGGACTTCAAGGCCATTTTTTTGAATATGATATGTATTAACTGGGAATTGGATTAACATAACATCCTCCGAAGTTCAAATGTCATTGCCTTCAGGTCCTCAACTTCTCTATTATATTTTTTTTAAAAGCATGCAAAAGATAGTTTTTTGTTTTGTTTTATTTTATTTTATTTTAATGCTATGCTCATGGAATACTTTACTGGATCCTTCAAATTCAAAATAATATATGGTGATGTATTTATGATATCTCACCTGATAATATCAGTAATAATACCTAGTAAATGTCTGTTCAGCATATTTTTGTAAAGTTGCAGTATGATCACATTAGTTCAGAAGGCAAAAGATCAGTTTTTCAGTAGAAGAATGTGCATGTTCAGTATTTATACATTTAAAAAATGTATTTTGACCAAGAAAAGGCTGAAAATATAGAATGATGAAAACAAATGACAATGTTGTCCTATTAGTTTAAACAAGAAAATGTAATAATGCTTTTGTTTGTTTGGGATTATTCTTTGATGCCTTCTTTAATATAGTTTCTTAAGAAATTTCCTTTTGTCTATATTGTATTTATTTTTCAGTTTGAGGAAGAACAAAAACACATTCTTATCTGTAGAAGATTTTCTGGCTGGTACAAACTAACACTAAAAATATGCTGTGAGCATCACAGGGCAGAAATAATGATGTAACTGGATTGTGATAACATAGCAATTTATGACCTACAGATTACATAGTAATTCTAAATATAATTACCATGTAATTCCAATCAGAAGGTGTGAGAGAACTTGATTTTATAGGGTTCTATAAAAATATGGTATTATACACTTGGAGTGACACTGGTCCCACTGAAGTCAATGGGGGTTTTATCATTAACTTCAGTGGGCCAGGATTTCATCCGTTGGGTCTGTTGTTGATGCTATTTCTACTGATAGAGTGGAAATTTCATGTGTATTAATGGGAGCAGGGCCGACTCCAGGCACCAGCTTACCAAGCAGGTGCTTGGGGCGGCCACTTCGGAGAGGGGCGGCATATCCAGCTGTTCGGCGGCAATTCGGCGGACTGTCCCTCACTCCTGCTCGGAGCGAAGGACCTCCCACCGAATTGCTGCTGCAGATCGCGATCGCAGTTTTTTTGTTTTTGTTTTTGTTTTTGTTTTGTTTGGCTGCTTGGGGCGGCCAAAACCCTGGAGCCGGCCCTGAATGGGAGAATAGATCCCATAGAATCTACCATATTTACTTCTTGAAAATCATGTAATTACATTTGGAAATCAGTCATGATTTGTTCATAGAGAACATAAAACCTAATTATATACCCACTTTCTCATCCAACATACTGTGGTGATCAAATAGTTTGCACTCTTGTACACTTTGCACTCCTTATATTAGTTTGGGTCATCGACATGATGGTTTCATAGGTAGACGACATACTTTCATGCATATCATCTGCACTCTTATAGTGCACACCTTTTGTTTATTGCTGACTCCTTGGTTACCTTTTCTCTTGCTCTATGTAGACCATTCCCTTCATTATTTCAGTTTTAATCACACTGCTACAGTGATTGCTATTTGTTGACCATTAACCTTTTTGCATATAGTATCCCAAATCTTATCAATTTTTACTTTTTGCATACTTCTTTTTTACAAGTACCATCTCTCAGTGGTTCAAAACCATTGAATGGAAAATCTTTTATATTAAATTCATGTAGCAGGTAGTTACATCTTATCCTCAATGCATATTTTCTTTAGTTATTTTTCCCTTTGTGTTTATTTTTTGACAATGTGAGAATAATATGTTTTTCAGACTGATCTAAAGACTTGTTCTTTAGACTACACGATTGCCATTAACAGAAATTGAGCCAAATTTGTGTTTCCAAATATGAAATAAATGACTTTATATACGGTGGATGGCAAGATACAGTCCTATTGAACTCCAATCTTCATTTTAAACCTTTCTGGCATTTAACAATCAATTTTTAAGAAAGCCTTAGTTCCTTCATACTGCCTGTTCTTTTTCCAGTAGAATGATAAATCTTTGTTAGTCCATAGAGTACTATCAACTCTGGGGCACTCACTCTTATCACTGAAGCTACATTTTTAAAATGCACAGAACAAACAGACAAATCTGTTTCACACTTGTAGGCTTTTTGGTAGCAAAGTGGAAAAATATAAAAGGGGCCCAAATCCTGCTCATCTTGTTCATGAGAATATTCAAAATGAATTTAGAGGGACTACTTGTCTGAATAATATTAACAGAATTTGGGCCTTGTTTACTTTTGTGTGTAGATGTAAACACCATTTAGATTATGCAATCATGCCCTGTGCTAATAAATAATGGTTAGAAAACAGTTACATTATTGTTATTTTTCTGTAATAAGGTATTACAATTTATTTGATTGTTTCTAGTTCTTCAAGCTGCTTCTGAATATTGAGGACCTGATTCCGTAAATACTGAGCAGAAGCAATGGAAGATCAAAACCAAAGCAAAGATCAGCTCTAAATTGCTTAGCTCAGTCCCAGGAATTAGTTTCAAAAATAACTTAAATTTAAAGCAATTTTAAAATTTAAGAGGAGAACAGATTATTTAATTTATTATTGAACCAGAAAAAATGTGAAGGATCTTAGAAAGTATTTTCTTGCATGTACATTTCTGCTGTTTCATTTAATTATTATTTTTGGTCAAGCACTAATTTGATCTTTTTGGCTAATTTAAATTAAGGTATACTATTCCAATGCATACATCTGATACAGAAAAATTAATGCAGGATTGTGGGCATAATTTATAATATATTCATTAATTTTATATGTCTTTGTCACACTTTAATATTTCTGTAGACAATTTGGTATTTATATAGAAAACATTATTTTGCCTCTACTTGTGGAATGCAAAATAAAAAACAGGGTTGATAACATGAAATGCTTTTTAGAATCAGAGAAGTTCAAACATTAGGGTGACAGTCTTTTTATTTGGATGTTTTGGGGATTGCAAAAAATAATAATGTCTTTTCCAATACTGAAATACAGCATAGTATCAATTCAATAATTGTATGCAAGTAGTATATTTTCTTTAAAATGCAACATCCCATTTAATAATTGGAATAAAAAGTGTGTATTTATATTTAACTTTTATTACTAAGAAACTGTTGTTAGATGGTTACAGTACTATGCAAATTAAAAATAGTATCAAGCCCCTAAAATAATTTACAAACAAGCTATTGGCATTTATATTGAATATGTAAGTGGTGTATATTAATAAGAACATTTTGTCTTGTAAAGAGCTGGTGAGATGGAACAGATTGTTTAGCATAAGTAGTTAGCACAGGGGTGGCCAAACTTTCTGGCCCTCCGAGCCACATACGACAATCTTCAGAAGTTCAAGAGCCAGAGGTTGGGGCTTCAGCGCTGCTCCTGCTGAAGCCCTGAGCCCTGGCAGGTGCGCCCCGCAGGGCTGAAGCCCCAAGACCCCTCCCCGCTGGGCAGAAGCCCTTACCGCTCCACCCTGACGCAAGGCAAAGGTCCTGAGCATCCCCCCACCCAGTCTGGTAGGTGAAGAATGGGGGTGTGGGGGGGGCTTCATGAGCTGCACTTTAATGGTAAAAGAGCCACATGTGGCTCACGAGCCACAGTTTGGCCACCCCTGAGTTAGCACATTTAACTGTGAAACTGAGTGTGTCTTTCCCAGACCTGAAGAAGAGCTCTGCATGGCTTGAAAGCTTGTCTCTCTCACCCACAGAAGTTGGTCCAATAAAAGATAGTACTTCACCCACCTTGTCTCTCTATTTGTCCCTAATGTGAGAGAATTGAATAACTTAGTTGTGAACTTAGTCCATGTCTATACGTATTACACTGCAGCAGCGCAGCTGTACTGGTAAAGCTGTGCTGCTGAAGCACGTCTGGTGAAGATGCTCTATGCCAACAGGAGAGAGTTCTCCCGTTGGAATAAAAAAACCTCACCTCCGCAAGTGCATTAAGCTATGTTGGTGGGAGAAGGTCTCCCATCGACATAGCACTGTGCACACGAGTGCTTCTGTCGGTGTAATTTAGTCACTCAGGGGGATGGAATATTCACACTCCTGAGCGACATAAATTTTGCCGACATAGGCTATAGTGTAGACATAGCCTCACTCTCTATTTACAGCCAATCACTCCGTCCTAGGCAAATTTTGAATAACACCAGAAAACTTTTCTGTTTCAAAGATGTTTTATGATATTGCTCCATCAGCCCTCCATATATGTAGAACCTTTCCTTTTTTCCTTCCATTTAGTAGTGTGCATGGGTTTGATCCTGCATCCCTTCTGCAAAACAATCCTTATTCTCCCAATTAGTCCCAATCTACTGAATGGGTAATCCCATGCAAGTAGGGACAACCTAATAATGGTTGCAAATACTGGGCTCCATATTTAATTTCCTAATGTTTTTAGATTATAATGTTTTTATCCTGGTAATTGCATTGTGCTTTTATATTATTTTAATTGTTATGCATCTCTGTGAAGCATCTCCAGAGCCTTGGTAGGGTGGGGTAGGTAATTTATCAGTTCTGGGCATACTCAAGTTTTATAGGCACTGTCTCATACTTGGAATGGTGTTGAGATGCATTGCTCCAGGGGTAATCTATCCAGGAGGAATTGTGCCTCTGGAAGGTGGAATTTCTCATGGAATTTGCCATTATGTAGCGGAATATATCTTCAACTACACCGTTTTGTGAGTGCAGCGTATTCCTGCATGCATGCCCAACTAGCTCTGGTGCCTCTGCTGTGTGGAACCCTGGCTCTGCTTTCACTCTTCCCCTTTTGAAGTGTCTTGAATACCGGGCATGTTAGGAATAGTTCTTTTGTTGGAGTAATAGGGCTTTTATTGTGCCTGGCTACTGAACAAAAGTGCAAAGGGGAATAGGGAGTCTCCTGGTTCCATTTACTTCCCTTGTGCTTCCTGGAGCTGCCGGGAATTATTATTGTTAACATGAAAAGTCCTCCAAGTGATTTCATTTTACACAACTAATTTTAACACTACAAATCTGAAAACATTACTGTTTTGTCTTCAATTTCTAGTGCATGCGTATAACGCTCTTCACAGTTACAATTATAAAAAGCAGCATCAAACATGTACAATTCTAATGTAAAGTTGACATGCAAACTACCGTTAATTAAAGCATCCATAATGATTAAAGAGACTATTTCTGTAAAGCAGTGTGGTCAACTGGATATAGTGTGTGACTGGGCTTCAGGGAATTTGGGTTCTTTTCCCAGCTCTCCCATTGAATCGTTGAGTCTGTCTACACTGCAGTGGGCGTGTGCATAGACAGATATGCGGTAGCTCTGTTTGAGTTAGCGTGCTAAAAATAACAGTGTAGCAGCAGTGGCTTGAGAAGCTGCCTGAGTACAATCCTTCCTGACTTCCTGGTATATACTCAGTTGACTAGCCTGAGCCATTGCCCAGGCTGCCACAGCCACACCGTTATTTCTTCACAACACTAGCTCAAGAAGACCTAGTGTGTGTATGTTGATCTGAGCCAGGAAGCATCCTCCCAGTTGCTGTGTAGACATACCCACTCTAGGCAAGTCACTTTATCTCTCTGACCATGCCTGCACTACGGAATGTTACAAAAATCATCCCATCAGTGCTTCACTAATTCAGCTGAATGATGTGTGTGTATTAGGAGGAGCTCTACTGTGAACAATTTGTTTGTCCTTAAATTTCTCCTAACTACCTTACTATGCAACTGAACAAAGGGAAGCATATCACATGGTATAAGACAGTAACTTTACTTGGTAAATTTGGGGCTGTTGTGTTTCAGGGATATGACGTGACACTCTCACATTTCACAACCTTGTACTGCTTCCCCACAGCTGTGTTGGGATGCTGTGCATCCAGCAAGACTATAGGGATTTTCCCCCATTTACTTCTTTTGGCCACTGGGGAACAATGTGGCAGAGGAAATGCAGCTGGCCAAGCAGCTGTAAGCCCTTACTCTAGCTTCTTCATCTTCTGGGTCTAAGCCAGCAGGAGCTGGAAGGAGAAGAAGGTGGTTGAAGCCACCTGTCCCAATATTCTGATGGCAAGGGAGGTGAGTGAAGAAAAGACTGAGAGGGCAGAAGGAGAGGAGATAGACTGGAAACAGGTTGAGTGGCAGGGATAGAATGGTGGGAGCAGGGTTAAAAGGAGAGACACAGAAGCAGGATGATAAGGGAAAGCTAATGGTGATGGAATAAAATATAAGAGGCAAATGAGAAATAGGGACAGAATGGGTGAGTTTGTTTCAGGACTTCTTAAGTGAACCATGATCCCAGGTGGGAGAAGGAAATCTGAGAAGTGATGTGGAGGGCTGGCTCTCCCCATAGATTAACTGGGAACTTAAAAGAGGGAACCCGATTTTTCCTGTGGATTTTTGGCCTCTACAGAATTATAGGAATACTTGCCAGCTCCTGCTCTGTTTTCCATGGGAGAGGAATGTGTATGGCCCAATTGTCAAAGTGCTGTACACTCTCATTTCCTGTTGAAGTCAGTGGGAACTGAGAGTACTTAGCACCTTTAAAGAAGGACCTCAATCTCTTGCACAACTGGGTTTTGAGCCCTTATTGCACTTACTTAAAAAATATAATGGCAAAAAAAAAGTTTGACTATAGCTAATCCCTCTCCCTCTCCCCCGGTGTGATATTTATCAACTTTGTGGATTTCTAAAAGATAAAAAAAAATTTGTTAGTAAATGTGCCACCAGAACAATATAGTTGAAATACTCTAAGTACCAGACCCCGCAATGAGCTCAGTGTAGGGAGATCCCGGCATCTGTGTGAAGCCTGTAGCCTAAGAATGTAATATTGTCTAGAGGGGAGGGTTGGAGTAACAAGAAGAACAAATATAGTGAGCGTCTTATGTCACTTCCTTGTTCTTTTCACAATTAGATCTCCTGTGTGAATAGAAATCCCAAAGTAGAAAAATAGAATTTGAAAGCAACATTATTTTCCTTATTATCCTCATGCTTAAATTATGTTACATGCATACACAAAATATTTTTGTTCTTCAGTAATTTAATTATTTTTCCTCCTTTAAACACAAGACTTTTAATATTTATACATATATATATATATATATAGAGAGAGAATTTCTACTAAATCATTGCAAAGAATGTCTACCTTCTAACCGTAGTAGTTCGTGGTACTGATTTTTTTTTCAAGACATGCATGTTTCATTTTGACCAGCAGTTGTTTCATTGCTTGCTTGCCTTGTTTATTCCCTGAAATTAAAAATAAAACAAATCAACATCTGCTCTGTTTAGTAAGATAGCAAGAAGACCTACCATTCTAATTAATTTTTGTAAAATATTTGTACATTTAAAAAAAATGTTCTCTGAATTTTCTATGTTTAATGTGCACTGCGGTTAAACTACTTGTTTTTTCCCTGCCTGCTCTTTGAAGATGCCAATTAGGAATAATGGGAAACAAGGGGTAGGCTAAGCATTGCAGTGCATTGTTGTTTCCATCTGTCTGTGATTATTTCAGCCAAGAGTTTAAAACACTTTATGCCCAATCCTGCTCCCATTGAAGTTAATGGGACTTTCCCATTAGTTTTGGTGGGAGTAGGACAGGACTCCGCACTGTTGTTGTTGTTTTCATTGTGTTCTTTCTTGTCTGTGAAATTGCCACCCACCCATGCATGAGTTTGCCAGGTATATTTATTTGTGCCGTGTTCACCAATGGGCTTGTTTCTCTGATGTTTCAGGTTAAGTATTAACAGTAGAAAAAAAGGCTTTGGGTTAAAACTGTCAGCTGAAAGCATTCTTCTAGTTTTACCTTTAAAAACAGCTCTGATTCCTTCCTTTAAATTGTTAGTATCCAATGAGATTTTTATAGATATCCAGTGATTTAATCTGTGGACTAGGGTACCGAATGTTGCATTTTTTTAAATGCCTGCTTGTTTGACAGTAGTAAGAAACTTTATAGTGAAACAAAAGTTAAGATTTTCATGGTTACGTTCATGTATGAAAAACGCTAAATTGGGGGAAATATTTTTTTTCATGATGCAGTTTTGGGAATATAAACCCCTGATGATTATAGGAAGAATGCAGACAGATTTTCATTTTTCTTTTCTGTGCCTTTATGGGAATATGTTTCCAATTGACAAAAATACCCATAATCCTTTTTTTCATGCAGACTTGAACACTGAGGCTGCAGAAATAGCGCCAGCAAATTATCTAAATGATTGTTGTTGTTTTTTAACTTAACACTGAAGGCTCATGAAGCTGAAGAAGAAGCTCGGCTGAACCCAGAATTTGCAGACAGAATGAAACAGCTTGACAAAGAGGCATCTTACTACAGAGATGAATGTGGCAAAGCTCAAGCTGAGGTTGACAGACTTCTAGAAATCCTCAAGGAAGTGGAGAATGAGAAGAATGACAAAGATAAGAAAATTGCTGAGCTAGAAAGGTAATTTTTGTATTATTTGCTTTATATTGAATGGCCTTTTTATTAAGAGATCTCCATTGTGGAAGGAGCTAAAATAACAAACAAATCAATTCACATTACTTCACAAGTTGTACCTAAGAAACAAGTGTATGTGCTTGCTTTGAAGAGATTTGGAATCTCCTCCTTTTGGCTAGAAAAGGCTTGGTATTCTACATATCAAAGAGTATATATAGGGAAACTCCTACACAGTTTACATAGTAATATCCCTGTCTGCAAAACCTGGGTGAGATATTGCATTATGGGAGCAATTATGCTTTTTTACTGATACTGTATTAGTATTAGTGAACCCAAATAAGAACCATTCCAGACATTTGTCCTTGCCTGGAACAGCATGTATAGTATACATCTGAGAAATTCTGGAAAGCTGTGGTAAATCTTCTTAGTCTGTTCCTTAACTCTAGCTTTAGGTATTTTTCTGGGGTACCTCACACTCTTCTGTTGGCAAGTATCCTTTGAAGGTGGCCCTTCCCCTTTCTTCTTACATGTGGGGAAGTTATTCAACCTTTCCCTGGTGGAGGGAGAGAGGGGGTTGGAACCACTAATCGTGTTCCTTTCAAATTGAAAAGTACTGTAAAGCTTCTCCTGCAGATTGTGCCCCAGGTTGTACTATATATGTGAAGTTCTTGAGTCTGTGAGATTTCTCCATTCCTATCCCAGAGTAGCCATTCTTATAGGAAGGAAGGAAGCAATCTTGTGTGTTCGGGTGTTTCAAAAGTGTGTATTTCAGGGGTTGTGTTGTGAGAGGAGAGTCTCAAGGAGCCACATAAATCAAAAAGCAAGATCAGTGGGTCCCACTGTAACTGTTGCTAGATCCTGCCCATCTATCAGCTACTACTGGACAAAGTGGCGCACTGTCACAGAAGAAAGATCCTGCTACAAAATAGACCTACTAGTAATTTCAATTGTTATTGGAGGGAGAAAGCCAAGATCTGTCTTTTACGGAAGGAGGCTTGTGTGGATTAGAGGTAAAACATCCTTCTTACATGGTTTGAAACTTCAGATGAACTTCCAAAAGTTAATGTGGTTATTTATTAGCTTCTTACAATTTAACTGTTGCTAAATATTTACTTTATTTACTTTTGGCAGACACTTGACAAAGATCTGGTTAGCAATAATTACTTATGGATGGTGTAGAATAAAATGCTTAAGAATAAAATCACGAAAATGATATGCTGTTCAACATATTATTTTACTATACAATATATTTACTATTATTACAATATTATAATTGCATGAGTAATGTGCATGTGCCCAGGAGATGTGGGACGGATGATAGGTGAATTTTGTAGATAAATGCATAATAATACATCTACCTGATGTGCACGATGTACACAATGCCCACAAGTTACTGTGAAATTTTTGATATACATATAGAAAATTCTCCTTGCCCAGAACAGGAATTATAGTAACTGTGGGCCTTGATGTGCTAAGAAGCACTGACATCTGCTGAAGATAGTGGAAGTTACTGGTGCTGAGCACCTCGTAGGATTGGGCCCCAATTTTTCTTTTAAACCTTCTTGTTTTGGGAAATTTGGCAAAATAAAGATTTAAATTCCCACACTGTAAATAATATGTTTAATAGTTTACTTCCAGCATAGTTAATACAAAGGATATAATCAAATACAGAGGCATAAATATAAGAATAGATCGTATGGTTTTCTTCATGCATATGAATGTGATTTCCTGCATGATATTTTTATTTGATTTATGTGAACCTTAGTCTGAACATAAAGCAGTTTCAGTCATTTACTGACAATTGATTATAGAGCAAATGGCCAGGATTCTAATGAGTAGTGGATATTTTACATGTTTTCCTTCAATTTCACACAAAGAAATGAATCACATGTATATTGAGTGTGACAAAATTGGTGACGTATTTCTGAGAAACGTGTACAGTATATTTGAATAGCTGAGTATGACCAGATGGTAGCTATAAAATGTTATAAATTTTAGCCCCCAACTTGCATTGAGATCTGCTAGAATGGCCCCTGGCCTCTGTGTGGAATCCAGTTAATTTCAATGAAACTACTCACATGATTAAAGTTAAGCACACATGTATCATGCATCTGAGCTAGGGTACTCAGCACTTCTCAGGATTGAGCCCTAGATATACAATGTACATAAGAAAGTATTCCATGAAGAAGCAGATTAACTATTCCAAAATAAAACACAAATGTTGATTTAGAAATTGCGTGTCGGTTCATCTATTTAGAATGTAAGGGCTAGATTATCCCATGTTTTAGACTGCAGCGTGGGAGAATAAGGAGACATACATATATTCACCCTCCTGCATGTGTATGGGTATTAAGGGGTGGGGAATGGGTGGCCAGCACACCAGGGAAAGTAATCTGCTCTAGGTATAGAGACACAAGTGAAGAGGCCTGATTTTCAGAGTGTTGGTGCTTAAGCCTTTTTTAGCAAATCAGGCTCCTTTAATATGACCCAAAGTTTGAGACCTTTATAATTCCAGCGAGAAGTAAACTACTGCAGTTCTTTACAAGGTGCTGCAGACTTTCCCCCTTGTGACGGCTCAGCTCTGTTGGCTGGTTATCTGAGGGAAAGCAGAGCCAAGGCTTTACCTACTCTCCACCCATTCCTTGTTGGCAAGGGCGGCTCCAGGCACCAGCACTCCAAGCGCGTGCTTGGGGCGGCAAGCCGCGGGGGGGCGGCCTGCCGGTCACTGTGAGGGTGGCAGTCAGGCAGCCTTCGGTGGCATGCCTGCAGGAGGTCTGCCGGTCCCGCGGCTCAGGAAGTGGGGACGCTGAAGGCGCGGGACCGGCGGACCACCCGCAGGCATGCCGCCGAATCCACGTTACCAGCGGACCTCCTGCAGGCGTGCTGCCGAAGGCTGCCTGACTGCCGTGCTTGGGGCGGCAAAATACATAGAACCGCCCCTGCTTGTTAGGGTAAAAAAGATGAGTTGCAGCTCTGCAAACTTGCTTCCTCCACCTTGTTCCCTACTCTCCTATGCAGCTTCCAAAGGGCAAGTTGTCTTCTGTCCAGTGATAGTGACAGCACATGCTCCAGATACAGAGCATGTGTGGGATTTCTTAAGAAAGTGAGTGCTCTGTCCAGGCATGCATTTTGAACATAATCTGCTGAGCTCCATGTGTATTCCTATTCTAACATCTTCCTTGCATTGCAAAGTAGTCTTTTTAAATTGCCCAGTATCTAATTTTGTTGGCTTGAATTATAAAAGACATACACCTCTACCCTGATATAACGCTGTCCTCGGGAGCCAAAAAAATCTTACCGTGTTATAGGTGAAACCACATTATATCCAACTTGCTTTGATCTGCTGGAGTGCGCAGCCCCGCCCCCCTCCCCCCCCGAGCACTGCTTTACCGCGTTATATCAGAATTCGTGTTATATCGGGTCACATTATATCGGGGTAGAGGTGTACTTCATAATATTATTAGTTATAGTGTTTTTACCAATATAAAACATCTATATTTGAGAGTTGTGAAGGAGTGTTTATAATTAAATCCTATAATCTGAAATTTAAAAACCGTTGAAATAAGTTTGTATTTTATAGATTGAAATAAAACTTAACACAGAGAAATCACTTTTTAAATTGACTAGTATACTAGAGAACGTCAAATGTTTGAAAGAAGAGATATCTGATTTAGGACAGTCTCAAAGAAATGTACGTGCTGAATAGCAGACAGGCAGGAATTATTAGCAAAACTGAAGGAGCTTTTATGCATATGGTAATTCTCTTTGGCTTGAACTTTATATTTCTACTTCAGAAATCACTGCGTTTCTGACAGTTTAATCATTTACTTCTAACAAATGCCTATACTGTATACAATACATCATGTATACTGTAGGTTGGCCTGGATGTTAATTACTTTTTATATACAAGAAAATACTTTTATTTTTCAAATTGGTTATTGTTACAGTCTGATAAACCTAAAAGCTTTTTATCACTCTTTGGTAACTTATTGCATTGGTCATGTTTTTTCTGCTGTATCAGTATAATACTCATTTTCAATAAAGTCAAGTGTAAAAGATCTTGTACAAATATCAATATAACTAACAATAACAATATATACTCTTAATACCTGTAATATGCTTTTCCCAGAACAATCTTGTGTTATTTAACTTCCTATGAGTTCACATCTTGAGTGGTTTGTTAAAGGAATGAGAACTGAGATCTTGTGCTTCCAGAATCTGAGAAATGCAGATATCCTGTTACCCAAATGTGCACGAGGAGCTAAATTATGGGTGGGTGAAGTTGTTATAGAGTTCCTGGCCCTCCACAGTAACCAAATAGGATCAGGATGTGTTGCAGTGGGGAGCTTACTAAACATGGGAACTTCCTGGTCAGGAAGTTCTTTAGTTACTGCTCCTTAGAGAATTACTTTTTGTGTGTGTCCTCACACTATAGTGTGTGTGGGTGAAAAGCAGCATAGGGAGGCTGTCCCTGCTCATGGATGACTCGGTATTTGGGAATTGTAAACAGAGTTCTCTGCAAATGTCTGGATTCCATTTGTTTCAACCTTAATAGAAAAGATGGTTGGAAAAGTTATGGAAGATCTGGCAAGACACCAAGCTACAGTTGGCAACAATGTGCAGCTAAAGAGGCAGAATATAAGAGATGCCACAAAATGGGATATTTTGCAATAGCGTGCAGATCATCAAGAATAGTGGAAACTATCCAACAGGGATTGTTATCAGATGACGGTGAGTCTATATTTCTAAGGACTATATCCTCACTAGAACAGGCAATATCTTTGTACATAAGCATGAATCTAAACAATCAAAAACTTAAATTTAAAATTGTTACTGGAGCAGCAGTCACCGCAGTTCCAAAAAGTTTATAATCAATCCCAGATGAAAATCAGCAAAGATCAAATAAGATTCTACATGGGGCTAATAACAATAGTTGGATGTTTGTGGGGAGTTCCTTGGGAAATTGGGAAATGACTGAAAGTTCTTTAACAAGTAATATGTGTCAT